GCCCCCTGGCGGCCGGACTGGGCGCCGCTCGGCTCCACGAGTAGCTGCAGCCGGTGCGGGGCCTCGGGCCGGGGTCTGGGAACCGCGAGGACGCGGCGGCTCGAGGGCCGGGACCCCGGGGGCAGCAGCCGAGCTCAGGAGCGGAGCCCGAGGCTGGAAACGGCACGAGCGCGCCCCGGGGCGTCCCGACGGGCTCCCGCCGCCTGTCAGCGGGTCGTTCGTCACTGGGCGGTGCGGGGCGCATGAATGTCCCTCACGCTAACACAATTCCCCCGGGGGCCGGGAGGTCACACGCACGCAGTGCGGTTGTGCAGGCGGCTGGAGGCCACCTGAATGTCCATCAGCGGGCCGGAGGGTCGCCCGGCATGGACCACGACTCCCGTCACAAAGAATAGGCTCGACGGTCTGTTCCGGCCAGGGGAAATGCCCACCCCTGATAAAATGAAAAAGCAACATGCGGAGTACCGGGCACAGTGTAATCCATTTTTAAAGAACCTGTATTTGATTTGTGTAGACGAAGGAAAAAAAAAATACGGAAGATCACACACCTGTTTAGCATCGTTTCTTGATTTCTTCCTGGAAGGGGGAGGGCGACTATTTTAACAAGTGTGTGTTGCTTTATACAACGGGTAAGATATACGTACAATTCATAGACGGAAATAAAGTGTATTTTGCGCGTCCCAAAATGTGGTCTAAAAAATCGACCTCTGCAGGTCAGTGCCTATGGGGCCGGGAGCCACCCTCGGAGAGGGACCTGCAGGGAAAGGCAGACCTGCCTAGACCAGGAAGGCTAGGAAGCGGTGTGGATAAACCACCCACGTGGCCTGGGACTCCTCAGCTGGAGGTCTTCGGGGCATTTCTTCTTTTTTTTTTTTTTTCCTTTTTGTCTTTTTTTCGTGTCCGGCAATGGATCGCAACCCTNGGGGCATTTCTTCTTTTTTTTTTTTTTCCTTTTTGTCTTTTTTTCGTGTCCGGCAACGGATCGCAACCCTCAGTGTCGCGCCCGTACCGGACCGGGACAGCAACGGGATCGCAGCCCTCGGTGTTGCTCCCGCGCCTCGCTCAGCCAGTGAGCGGGAACCGGTCTGTATGTGGGATCCGAACCCTCGTTGGGAGCGCCGCAGCGCTCCCAAGCGGCGCACTGTAGCAGTGCGCCACCAGGCCGGCCCCCCGGGCATTTCTTAGAGACGTCTCTGGCACTGGCGTGGAGAGGGGCTGGAGAGCAGGACGCAGGAGAACAGCCAGCCGACCTCGGCTAAGCCGGGGAGAGAGCTAAGTGATGACGGGGCACTGCCAGGGGGAGGCAACGCCAAGGAGGGCAGAATCGGGGGTCCCAGAGACTCTCACCACGTATCTCTGCTTCCACCTAAAATCTTTTAAAATCTTAGATCATGTCATTCCTCTGCTCAAAACCCATTTTACTCAGAATCAAAGCCCAAGTCCTCACAGGGGCGACCCCTCAGATAGCACCTCCCATCCCACTCTCCTGCACGCTGGCTCCAGCCTGCTGTCCCTCGTGCTGTTCAGCAAACGCGACAGACCCCCTCCTTGGGGCCTTACACACGTTGTCCCCTCTGTCTAGAACTCGCTTGGCTCAACCACCTCCTCCAAGTCTTTGTTCAAACTTTTACCTCCTCTATACTCCTGATTCCCACCTTACTCTGCTGTTTTTTCCCTTAGCACTTACTTTGTAAAATACCATTTTACTTATTATGTTTCTGTCTCTCCCTACTAAATAGATAATAAGCACCCCAAGGGCAAGTGCTGTCATCGGTTGGTTCACTGATGTACACAGTGCCTAGAACACTGCCCGGCACACAATAGTGCTTGATGAATTTCTGTTGAAAAAAAGGAAAACTTCCGACGTGGAACTGACCAGAGCCTGTGCAAATGCTGAGGAAGTATCCAGAAAAAGGCTCTGGAGAGAGGCTGTGGAGACTTGGGCGGATGGGTTAAATCTGTGGGGCATTAGGTAGATGGATGGCCCTGCCACAGGCCACCTGCCCTGGCATCCCCGTATTCCCTGATCACATACCCCCTCACAGGCAGGGTCTGCGATGGCCAGAAGACTCTATCACTTCAGCCACGACCAAGCCTGGGCACAGTGCCATGTACGGGAGGTGAAAGTCTATAGTAGTTTCTGCCTTGTCACCACTGAAAAATCATGGGCATAAAAATCAATCGTGTCCCTATATGAGTGCAACAACTACTTAGGAAATACAACATGAGGGCCGTCCCGGTGGCGCACTGGAGAGTGCGCCGCTTGGGAGCGCAGGGACGCTCCCGCCGAGGGGTCGGATCCCATGTGGAGACTGGTTCCCGCTCACTGGCTGAGCGCGGTGCGGGCGCAACACCGAGGGTTGCGACCCCGTTGCCGGTCCCCGGTACGGGCGCGACACCGAGGGTTGCGATCCCGTTACCGGTCAGTAAAAAAGACAAAAAGGAAAAAAAAATACAACATGAAATAAAGATCCTGTTCACAATAGGAACCAGACATAAGACATACCGAAAATGAATTTAACTATGTGGGAACCTGTAATAAGGAAAAAGTAAAAGTCTTTGCTGAGAGCATACCTAGGACTTAAGCTGGTATAGGAACATACCATAGTCCCACTCAGAAAGACTCGATATTATAAAATGTCCAGCTTATCTCTGTATTAGCCCGTCTCCAAG